TAAATGTTGGTGTAATGAAGTTAAATTACTCAATTTGAAGTAGTTTTTTTGTCTTGTCTGGTCATTTCTCTCCGAAACGACCTACTGAAAGTAAGCTTTCCAATCCTGAAGAGTGGGCGCTAATCGTATAGTGTAGGAGAAAAGAATTGACGAGAATATTTAAATTCTCAATCTTTCTGATATTGGACAGTCGAAACCCCAGAAAGTGACCACCCAAAATGCTGTCGCTAACGGGAGGTGTTCGCTCAAGAGAATCGAGCCACAGGGGGAAAAAGGTAGACTACACTCGGCAAACGCACAGCTCAAACTACGCCTCAACTGGCCCCAGTTATTCAAAGGGGGGATAACGCTATCCACCAGATAAATCACTACCCACTGGATAGCGTAATTGGTTTTCCCTAGCACTTATCCGTTGGATAGTGATTTATCCGGTTAATAGCGCTATCCAACTTTTGAACTACTGGGGCTTGGTCGCTAACAAGAGAATTATCGAAACAATGGAAAATTCCAAAGCCTTCATCCAAATAAGTGGTCGCTGTCACTACTAATATGCGAAACCATATATGGTCATGATTACAGGTCAACTAAAAATCTGATTGGCTAAGCGAGTACCACGTGCCCAATGACGTAAGAAAGGTCACAAAATAGAAAGGTGACACCGGGAATGTGTCACGGAACACGTTTCTATTGATCAAGGTTACATGAGGAAACGTCGGACCTTCAAAAGTCCACGCAAGCTTGCGCACCGCTGAATATCAAACGACAATCCTGCTAAAATTTCTCTTAATTATACATAATTATGCGAATGTTTGGATAATCAACCAATCACTACCCGGTTTTAGGGTAGTGACGTCATTGAATAGCATTAACGGCTCATAGATTCAGACATCACTGAGGGAATAAGCGACTCGAAGTGATGCCGTAAATTCAGGCTATTCTCCTTGGTGGACAGTCGTCTCTTGATTTATAAGCTAGTTAAGAGATCCACCATGTTCTCGTCGCGAGAGGTCCAGGGGACGGGTATGCCGTAGCCATAGCGGTAACTATAGCCAGGATTACGATCGATGACGCGTTTTTCGGGCACCTTTTTAAATCCTTTGGTCTGGGGAATGGAGAGGAGAGTTGGAGGTGGCGTTTCTGGTGATTTTGTGTTGACTGTGCACTTTGAGTGTCCTGGCCACAGGGGCGGGCTCGTTCAGCTCTTCGTGCAGCAAGGCCTTTTTGGTGACGAAGTTAATGTCGTCGTTTTTTGCGACTTGCTTTGAGAGATCATGTAACACTGTTTGCCGATGTGGGTGACTTAACAGGCCAAGGTAATCGACAATGAATTGACCCGCGTGGTAAGGGGGACTGACCCGTGCCATCGATGTAGATGACGGAACCTGTGTCCATGTCAAGATCATGGTCTGGTAACGGCAACAATTTCTGTCTTTAGAGTTGGATGAGAGCCTCAGCCGTTGTGGAAATGACCACGAGGATGATGGTTCGGCTGGACAGCTCGCTCACGTCGTTGGCGTATCAGTGGTACACGTCGAGCATTTCGTCGCCAGCCGGGAGTTGCGTTGTATGATCTGTGTGTCGTCTTCGTAAAGTTCGAAAAACTGCTCTACCTCTTTACAGGTGGTGATCTGCGTCTTGTTGGCCTTTTTCCGAACTTGCCCCAGAACCTATTGGCCATGAGTCTGCACAAGGTCTGCCGACCAGGCTTTTCTAAACGCGGGCGAGGTCGAGGACCAGCCCCTCAGGGTGGAGGTACTCGCGGAGGTGGGTGGCTTGGGATTCTCTGCTACTTCGGTGGAGACCAACTGTCCGATTCTATTTTGCCTTCGATGGCCTTGTTGATGTATCCCTGGAGAAGACCATTGGTAAGCTCAAAGTCCCAGGTCTCGAAGATGTACAGCACCCGGTAACCTTGTCCCAACGACACCTTGAGCTCCTCCCTCCACCACGTGCCATCAAAGGCGTGTGCTTCATCGGAATGGGGACACTTGCAGCTGCGCTCATACCTCGGGCCTGTTGTTTCTCTGCACACCGGGGGCAGAGTATGAACAGCAGTTTTTGGGCTTTGCACATCGGTAACACCGAGATGATAGAGAGCTCGATCGAAGGGCTAACACGAGGCGCTGGATCAGACCGTACGTCATGAGGACGACTTGGGCCTCTCCGGGTAGGAGGCCTCGTACTAGGTCTCGATGTGCGGGTGACTGATGAGGTACGGTCTGGTTTTGTTGATGAGGGGATAGAGGGAAATAAAATTATCTTAGTGAATCTCTTCCCCTTCGTGATTGGTGCGTATGGACTCTGTTCGACCACCGAAAAGTTTTCCCTGGCATCGAGGCAGGTGAGGACTTTCAGGGAGTTCGAAACCCCCTGTGAAGACAAAACCACAACGACAAACCAGTGAGGGTCAGCCGTATCTTTAGTAGTTCTGGACCGGTACTATCTTCAATACAAAAAAATGAATACAGATACAAGATGAAAGTTACATTTGCGAGATTTGAACACATAGCAAACAGAAAATAACAGGCTACTAAAAAGATAAATGTCACCAGTCTCTAAAAGGGTCACGGAGGCTACGGATGAGTTCTAAGGAAACAAGAAGGACGTCGTTGATAGAGTGATCGGCGTGATTAAAATGTCCAGAGACAGGAGTAGAAATAATAAGATGACCATAGTTAAGGACCACAAAGCGTTTACAGTTTAAGGAATCATGTATATGTCGTTTTTCTTTGGTGTAGGTGAAGATGTAATTGGTTTTGGCCTTGCGGTAAAAACTGACATGTAAGGCGGCGAAGATGTTTGCATTTTAAAATGCCGGGAGATGGTTGATATAAATCTTAAAATGCGTTCATTTCAAAGCTCTAGTTCATCACGATTTCTCGCGCCACAGAAGTGCCATATAAGCGAACAATAATGAAAGTGCGGTAGCATAAACGCCTTGTATAAACGCAACATAACGTTTCTTATGAGAAGACTTTTCAATCCCTTGAAAACACTAAATTGGTTGTAATGTGTTATGTTGTATGTTTGTATATAATGATGAAACATCAAGCGTAAGAAGGATAACATTGCTGGGGATTGGAGCAAGTTGCTGGAGTTTGTGAAGAAAGTGGGTCGTGTCTTTGATGTAGGACGGAAGTGGGTGTACCAGAGGATTCAGGTGATAATCAATGAATGCAGAAGTGCATTCAGTGGGGGACCATTGCTAAAGATGATTAGGCGACCAGGGTTTCCTTGTTTGTGAATTTTCGGGAGGATACAGAGAAGGCCAGCGCGAGGATTTGGGTTGAGTCGGCCCATGTTTAAAGGACTTATGCCCCCGTCAATGACATTCCCATTGGATGACGAGTTGGTAGTCGGTCTTTCACAGCTGTCTTCACCGCCCCTGGGTTTGGACCCAAAGATCATGGGGTGTGGCATGGTTGAGTTTGCCGATGGGTTTTAAGTCGTCGCGGATAACATGTAGGGCACCTGGGCAAGAAACAACCGTTAAATTGTCAGACGGTGTGGGTTGAGGCGTGGTAGCCGCTAACGTGAATGGTCTTGGCTGGACCGAGCTGTAGAGGCCCTTCACCGTGTCTTTTGCGACCATGGCGTAACCGGGGCTGCCCGTCGGCGGTGGTGCTTAGCTGATGCCTTGTGTAATGAGCCATTCTATGAGGTGATGGTGATGTTTTTCGAAGGTGGCGAACCTGTACTCCGTTCGGAAATCGTCCTCGAATTTCTGACAGGCCTGCCTGAGGATATAGAACAAAAACAGCAAGGCTGATTTTACAGTTGGGAATATATATTTCTTTTACCAATATTGCGGAAGGCACGGTCTTCCTTTTTCAGGTTCTTACGTAAGACCCTGAAGAAGGAAGGCCGTGCCTTCCGAAATATTGGTAAATAAAACATATATTCCCGATTGTAAAATCAGCCTTGCTTTTTTGTTCTATTTTTCTAAATATAGCTGATTAGATCCTTTATGAGGATCTGGTTCTTCTTTTTTGTAAGTTTGTCCTTACTTGAAAATTGAATCTGCTTGAGGATGCAGGATGCTTGAGGGTGATAACTGTCATACCACCGGCTAAAGGCGAAGCGACGTTTTTGGCTCCTGCCGTCTGGGTCGTAATAATGCTTGTTGGGCAAAGGGCCCACATACGTTTGGTGTTCGGGGCTGTCGAGAAAGGGGGGAAGAAACCTTTTGTCTCCTCCTGCAAAGAAAAGGCTTTGAGGAAGTCTGCCAAAGGCATGGAAAAAGGTTCAAGCTGTCGATGAATTTGATTTTGAGCTGGGTCAATTCCAAACACAGGAGTTTTCATGGCCCTATTGACGATCTGTTGAGGCCTCATGTCTTTGCGGTACAACTGGTTGAGGACGAAGTAGCCGTTGAAGCCCTGAAAATTGTACACGAGGAGGATCAATTTGGGTTTGCCTTTCGGCTCGGCGTTGCGCAGACAGATCATCCATTCCAGGAATGCCTGGACAGTGACGACCTGGAAGCGACCATCGCTCTGATTGGTTTCCTCGCAAATTAACCAACGACGACCAATGGCTGAACAGTATGTGGGTTTAGACTCCTCCATTATGAAAAAGAGGACGTTTCTTTGTGTGTTCTATTTGCTTTCCTTCTCTTCTCCATGATAGGAGTGCCCAGTAGATCGCCTTCGCTTCCTCTCAAGCTTCCCAAAGCAGACATTCCCGTCGAGCCCATGCAAGTGCACATGTTGTCTCATCTCACCCTAATGCGGGCAAACCCCCAGCGCGAACGCCGAGGCAGGAGAGCTGACTCAACGATATGGCAAATAATGCGAGTGGATGAGGTCATTCCTCCGGGGCATCCTCGCGAGCCACGATGACGCCCTTGACCAAAGAAAAACTCGACTTCGCCTTCCCCCAAATGCTTAAGGCCATGACACGTCTCGGCAAGAGTCTACAAAATCCCACGGTCAGAACGTACATTCATCGCAACCATCACACGAGCCATATTCGCCTTCGGCTTTTTCCTTCCAGTTCACAAGTACGTGGAGGGTGGGACGGGCTGGACCACTTGTTGTGTTTTTACGAGGGATGTACCCAAGGTGGGGTATGGGATAACAGTTCATTTCACAGAGCCGAATTGTTGTTGCTTCCAAGACCAGCATGCCTACAAAGAGGATAATGAATGCAGGATCATTTATTCCCTCTAGGTTGGCTGTTTTCTCCCGCCCTGCAGCGCAGTCTGCAATCGTCATCTCCAAATATTGATTGGTGTATTTTTTATGCAGCTAATTGTGTGCACAGACGGTTTTTTGTCTTGCTTCTTTGTTTATTTGTTTGTGTATTTTCCTATTTATTACAGCATATATATTTCTTCTTTGTGTGTCTTTGTGTGCATTTGTTTATTTATAACAACTTTGATATCTAGTTGCTTTTCCGCATGGCCCAGCGAGATTAGCTCTTGATATATTTCTGAGTGGCTGTGCTCTCTCTTTTTTTCCACAATTATTTTCTTCTTATGTCTTAACACGTTTTGTATCAAGAGCACAATAAAGATTGTTGTTGTTGTCGACATTTGTCACATGGTCATCAAGCTGCAACACTCCCACCCATGGGCCGTCATGACCGAACTCGCTGAACGCCTCTACTGTCCTATTGCCGAGTGGACATGTCCCAACCACCCCCCACTGCAGCGATCTCCAGCACGGGATCACCATGGACGACATTAACACGGAAGTGTTTTTACAACGCGTTGTTGAGCAACTCAACGCCTTAAACACCGGGGAATGAAGGTCCAACGTCCCCGCTTGTACCCAGGGCAACCGATGTTGGGTGACACATTTCCGGTTTGACCGTTTTCTGTTGTGTGACTTGGCTTAAATTACGTCAAAGGACACGTGGTACTCGCTTAACCAATCATACTTTTAGATGACCTCTCATCATGACCATATATGGTGAGGCCGTTGTTTACGACAGGTGCAAATTGTAGTGATTTGCCTAGGAAAATTTTGAATTTTTGGATAGGTGATCGCTTATGGGAAGTTGTCGCTTAAGATGACTTGGTTGCTGCACATGGACTTTCGACTGTATCAGAACGCAACAGAGCTTGTCTTCGTATTCTAGTCACCCATCTGTAGGTTAGAACGAGAGATTGTGGGGCAATGATAAAGCGTCCAAGACACTTACACTGACACAACACTGACTTGTTGACGGGTGCCGACAATGAAAGACAATCAAGTTCATTTTTAGCATTGTTCATAAAAAACTTGTCCTGAGACATCCACATGTTTTGCCTTATGTCTTGAGTGACTAAGCTAGATGCACGTATTGCCGTTACATACATTTCGTTAAGATGTTGGTGTTGGTCAGTTTATGGATATATCATCCGTGAGAAATTATTTAGACCGCTGGTTTCCTCTACTGTCCCTATTACTTAAAACCAGCAGCCACAATCGAGGAAGGAGACCGTAACTGGATACCTTCTCAAGTTATGGGGTTGGTTACACTGAAATCGCCAATGCAAATGTGCTATTTTTATCACAAATTGTGCCATCTCGTGTGACACGCGCGCATAAACAACCAAAGAGACGTCGGAAATCACCTCCGTTAGATGGAGATGAATAAATTCCATTAAAGTCATCATTGCCTCCTCTGGATTTGAGGGAAGACCTTGAGGAGAACCTCTTTGACAATAACTCTAAATATGAGGGCTCTGATTCTGATTTTGCTTATGTTAATCACCGTAGTGCGAGGGTTTTTGGCAAATCCAGTGACGAAGAGATGTCGTGCGATGAATATCTCGTTCGGACGAAAAAAACTTGCGGCGAAAAGGAGGGAGGAAAGTTAAAAACAACAACAAATAATGATTATGGTAAATATTCCTCTAATATATCTTTGAATTTATGATAAATACAGCTCTACCAGTTTCAAACAGTGTTTACCATTTGAATTTCACAGAAAACTTACTTTCAATATTGTAATAACAATTTTCCCACTTAACGCTTTGGTAGCGTGGCAACGTGGTCTAGGAGCCGACCTTCCGAGCAGATGGTTCAGGTTCGACTCTCTGCTAAGCTGTTATTTTCTTTGTTGTATAAATTTGCATCGTTTCGTTTCGTTTCGTTTTCTTTTGTTTTTGTTTTTGTTTTTAATCATACTGTATTTTCCCCAGGGCTGGTTTCCCTTTATTAGCTTCGCGACATTTTTGCGATAAACGCGTATTTCTAGTAACGTTTATATAATATTGGCTCATTCTTACACTGTGCATGCATTGCCTATTGAGATATGAAGCAAATGGAAGGTTCAGAGAAGCTCAGAGAGCACCCAAATAAAGTTGCAAAACAATCGCCCATCTCCTGAAATTCCACACGATAGCTGCGCAAATTCGCGGGGTTCCCCTCGCGAGATTGGGACGTTGAGGGTGGCGCAGTTTGATCTAAAAATAGCACATTTGGCTATTTCGATGGGAGCGCGTAGACCCCGCGCTTGCGGTCTCCTACCCCGTTTCTGGCTCCTGTTAAAACCTTGTCAAAACGTTTGGGTACGGGGACGGGAAAAATGGGATATTCACACTGATTCTTGCGCCCTGGAAATTTTTCCTCACACTAAGTTTGCGGCAAATATCCTGATGGATCAGAAAGACTTGAGTGAACAACATAAGACCGCATTTTATGTAGGACAAGTAAAATGTTTAATTATCATTATTATTATTATTATTTTATTAATCACAGTAATAAGAGTGAAAAAACCACTGTCCTATTGTAGATAAAGTTTTAAACCAGTCTAACACTATAACCTCACAGCCCAAGATAAAAACATAAAAGGAGCATCACATGAAACTCAATCAAACAATGTGGTAATTTGGCGTTTAGAGACTAAATACGGATTGAATACGGGAATATCACCACACAGTTTTTATACATTGCCAATATCGGTATCCTCATTTGTTTCTATAAATGTCCAGACAGCAAAACCCAAACAGTAATAGTTTGCGTGGGTAAATAAAATGGAAATGTATGAAGTGTCGTAAACGTGAAAGTTGAGGGAGTTTCAACTTTAACGTTTACGCGCGACCTTCAATACATTTTGTCTCTATTTCATTTACCCACGTATGAAATACGCGACAGTGGAAATCCATCCTCAGCAATTCAGATGAAGAAAATCGCAGCAAGATACTATGGACTACCCCAATTGGAAATTAACTTCCTGAACTAAACAACAACCAAACTACGGCTTTCTGAATAGTATATAAACCGAGTCCTTCGGATCTTCCACAAATCAGGCCACGTTTTGGTTAACGACGTCCCGGTAGCCTGCAGTGGCGTGTTAATCTGCAAATTATAGAAATGCATATAGATGTTAGCCGACGTAGCAAGCGTTTCCGCTCGAGCTGATGGGAGGAAGCTAGAACGAAATCGTACACACGAAAATGTTACACGCGTAAATAAAATAGAGGCAATGTATGAAGTGTTGCGCGTAAAAGTTTAAGTTGACCGTGGCCTATCATACACTGCCCCTATTTCAAAGCTTAGGCACGTAAATTTTACGTCCGTACGCACGCGAAATTTACGCGACAGTAGAAATCCAGCCCAAGACAGAAGATAGGCGTTATATAAACAAATCAGAGATCTCTCTGAGCTTATTTTTTTATCAATAATTTATTATTTCTGTAATTTTAAGATAGTCATCAGATTCTGGTAAAATTTCAAAGCCGGCTTATCCCTACTGCTTTTTCTCTAGGTACATATTATATAATTGCGCATGTGTCAGATCTTTCGACTTTGGTCCTATTCTTAAAACAGTATAAGTCATATAAAGAAGTCAGTATACTGTTGAGAGAAGCGGATCAGGTAGAATGTGAGTGTATTTCAGAAATCCTGGTAAAAGCCTACTTGATTTTTAGCCACATCCCCTTTGATTTATATCACAAAGACGATCAAAGTAAAGAGAAGAAAGAGAAAAGACTGTCGAAATTGAGCCGAACAGATAGTCGAGATTGTAAACAACTTGTTTCCTTGACACCAAAATTAAAAGACAAAGTACCTGAACAAACAGATGATTTGATTTTGTCAATTTCTTCTTGCAGTTTCTGGAAGCTAGCGACATTCAACACAGGTCCGTTTTTTCCTGCTATCAGTTTAAGAGTGTCTGTGTTTATTTTGCGGCCAATACCAACTACCACTATGTGAACTTCCTTTTCCTAAATTGAACACAAGACCAAGAAAAGAAAAGAGGTGAAAGTGCAATAAACAATGCTGCACGAAAACTGAAATGGTGGCGGTTATAGTTATTAACGTATTGTCATTGAAATTTAGTGTCACCTTTCGCCAGTATCCTGCGACTGGTTTTGTTTAAATAAAAAAATGCATAAGTTGGCTAACAAGAAAAAGGAAAAGTTTCTTTCTTTCTTTCTGTCGTTCTTTCTGGATACTTGTCTGTTGGTTACAGATGTTAAGTTCTTAGGTTATACCAAGGGGTAGTGCCAAACTCCTTTCACCATTGTTAGTTACCAATGGATAGCAGAGTAAATATATATACTAGAAGTAAATATATAACTCTACACACGAATCTGAACACGATAATCTTACTTAGAACGAATGAAATGAATACACATGTAGTTTATTCCACCACGCGCTTAATTATCCTAATTTGGCATTAACTCAAGATAGCCGTTTGCATGCTCGTTAACACGCTTTTTGCAGAGTGACGTTTTCCAGCGAACGACGGTAAGTTGCTCTCTCAGTCCCTCGCTGAAACTCTGTCAAGGCATGAACCCGAGCCCCTCCCGGCCTATAGATATAAAGTGTAATGTGTTAACTTCGGTAACCAAGGCCTCCACTGCACCACATTAGAGTGTTCAGTGAGTTAAGCGCAATTATAGTTTTCAGTTACGTGACTTAAATTCAAAAACGAATGTGATATGGTATTAGCTTTCCTTGTTATAACTTAACCGAAACAAACTCTAAACTTTAAGCTACACATGCCATAATATGTTATAAACAAACAGGGATTCACGAAATTGACCGAAGGTGAAAGGTGTCCTTGATAGAAGAAAATGTAATAAGTACTTACCTCGAAATCTTTCAATATATTTTTAGAAAAGACTCTAAAATTGCGATTTTTCGGCAAGCCATAGGGCACTCCATCAGTCAGGACTAACATTACGTTAGGGCTGTTTTGTCTGTCTCCTCCCGCCTCAGTAAACAGCTGGTCCCGCGCCATAATTAGAGCAAGATCGGTGCGAGTTCCAACATATTTGGCTTTTTCTGTTGGTTCGCTTTCTATTTTTTTCTCAAGACTGTCCAAGTTGTAGTATTCAGAGTCAGAGAAGTCAAACACCAATCTTGTAACATTGTCGAATGTGATGAGCCCAAAGTGATCCCCTTCCGGTGCCGGATTGAACTTTCTTACCAGGTCTGCTAGGAACTCGATAACTCTTTCTAAGTTTTTCTTATTGATGCTTTGAGACTTATCTAAAACGATCCCAATGTCTAGTCCGGCAATGCATGGAGGTGCTGCAAAAAATGGAATGTAATTCACTACTACTTCTACTATTCCTACTACTACTACTACTGAGTATTTTTGACAATTAATCATAAATGAAATTTAGGTATCATAAATAAATTCATAATAATTCAGTTACATCTTATAAAACTACAATAAAATTAAGCTTAAACATGAAATACATGTATGACAAACAACATGGTGGCTACAAAATGGATTGTCAGCCAAGTGATGCGGGGAACTGTTAGACTAATGGGCTTCCAGATTTTACAAAAATAATTCATTTGGCCTCCATTTATTGTAAAACAATATATTTTTTACGCCCAAATCTTCTAAAATTGTGCTCGTTTTTGTCCTTTAGAAAATGCTACAAGGAATTGCTAAGACAATCATGATTTTCAATTTGGAGAAAGCTTACGGAAATTCCTCCTTAGATACCGGGTGATTATTTTCTGATTTTTTTTTACATAAATCTCTCGGAAATAATTGGAATTGGCAGGTTTGGCTATAGTTGAGAGTCTGAACGATCTCTATACTCTCCCATGCACTGGTTACAGTTTGCTTTATCTGTAGAAACATATCGCTAAATGTGTGCATAGATCAATGCTAAATAAAAGTTGTATTACCTTATCTACTGTTAATTTTTGTCGTTTTCCTGGAAATAATTATAATAAGCGATTTTGAGGGATTTTGCGTTCACAGTTAATGCGCCTCTTGATAGTATTCGTTTGTGGCGCTTTCGGCGAACTAGTTTATGTTAGAAATTTTGAGGCGAGTCTTTCCTTTGAAGCGACTTGTGGTAAATTGAAATTCAGCGTCCTCGTCTTCCCGTCTTCCTGTCTTCCACTTCAGACATCTCAACCAACACTACTGCACAACTTACACAACCCTGACACGCATGAAAACTTAACATACGCCTGATACAAGAACGCCCAGTCTGACAACGTCTTGCTTAACTTTATGTAATCATGTAATAATGGCATTTTTAATCTCACTCCCCAGGGGCGGATCTAGGGGGAGGGTGCAGGGGGTGCGCACCCCCCCCCCCACCTGAGATGACCTGCGGTTTTCTAATACAACTGGTATTCTGCAAAAAAAAACTATGTGGTTTATTGGTGTTGAAGTAGAGCAAGAGACGAGTGCACCCCCTCCTAAAAAAAATCCTGGATCCGCCCCTGCTCCCCTAGTCTTGTATTTGCCTTTGTTTTGCTTCAGGCTTGGATTTTTAACAGTTTAATCGGGATCTGGATGGCCCGCCTATCAAGTGACTGTTCTTTCTCTCCTATCTGCATGGTGCCTGACATAATCTTGTTTCCGGTGAAAGCAGGAACCGGTGATAGAACGACTCAACGGTCGATATGCTCAGTACAAGACGGATAACAACGAAGCCCTGGTATAGGACTGAATAGACTGAACCATGGACAGAGCAATAACAAAAAAACTAAAAATATATCGAAAATATGCTGGTAGTGATAAGCGCTAGCAAAAAGCAAAAACTTTGATCGTTTTCAAAATTGTGCCGAAAATCATGAGAGATAGGGCATTAATTTTAGCTTTACATCCCAAGACTGCGCGATAAGGAAAATATGATTTTTGATTCTTGCCAGACTTTGTTCTAAAACAATATTAACCATCTTATTTGGATTTCGGGAGTGAAACAAAGCAAACAGTAAAACACTTACGGCACTCTTGTTCATTACAAGAAGCTGTCATATTTGCTGGTCCCAATTCATTGCAGTTTTTTCCACCGTTGGCTGATGGAGGATTGGTGCAGCTTCTTGTCAATATTTTTACACCTCCTCCACACGACACACTGCATTCAGAAATCGTCCAGTTGGTGTAACCTCCATTCACCGCTGAAAAACACGCAAAATATTAAAAGCACTGTGTTCAAAAAACTATGTCTACGTTAGTAGGTTATATGCTGCTACGAGGAGTATTTGGAGAATTTGATTCGATGCTCTGTGCGATAACTTTTTTCGCGGGAACAGAGCCAGAATCCTCGAACGGACAAAAAAGGCTATGTTGCTCTCTGG